AGCTAATGCCAGCCGCGTGTCTAGTTTTGAGTGCAGTAAAGATAGAATCAGCAATTCACACTTAATTTTACATTCTTTTCCAGTATTTTATTTTGTTTCTGTAGCCGCAGTGTACAACTCCTCTTCCTGTATATTGCCTTTTTTTGCTGGAAAATGTTGTATGTTGAATAAAATTTTCTATAAAATTTTTTTGGATGAGTGATGACATGGACATTGAAGAAGATTTCTCCTCTCCTTGGAAATAGAGTTTTGGGAAACGTTTTCATTCATGAGATTTTGCTAAAGGTGTGGTTTTCTTTTTCCTTAAGTGTTGACAATTGTATAATCCTCATTCGTTGTTTTGGGGAAGCTTTGTGGGGGGTTTCTGTTTTAATAGTTTTGGGGCTTGGAGGTTTTTGTGGGGTTTGGTTTTTTTACGTCCTAACTAGTTGCATTTGAGCTTAACAAATAAAAGGTTTTCCAGGAAAGGAGCCATGTACAAAAAAGACAAATGGAAAAATTATTTTACTAGTTTGTTTGTAAAACTTGTAGTAGAGTCTTTGTGGTAGACTGGACTCTGCCTGCCTGTACAAAATTTTGTGGTCCAGATTCTCAAGTCTAATATTATAAATGGTGTAAAGTGAAATCTGGAGTCTCTAAAGGTAAGGTCTCTTCATAGAGTAATAGATTCCTCCGTAATGTGTTCCCTGTATTCATAACCAAAACAGAAGGTGCAAGTTCTAGGAATGTTTGATTCTCTTTTTAGTTTGTATCTTGCAGTGCTTTTAACTCTCTCTTATTTCCAGTCAAGGCAAACTAGTTGTTTACTTTTGTTTTGCTGTCTGTGTGTGTAGGTTAGCATAGAGAGAAGTGCTTAACTGGCATGCCTTAAATGGAGAAAGCTTTCCTTTGCTTTGCATTCCCATCAGGCTGGTGAGAGCTGCACCATTCCAGGGGTGTTTTTACTGGTACTTGGATTGTCTCTACAGGCTTTCAGTGAATGTCAGGATTTGTTTCCAAACTGTTCCTGTGAATCAGAGGCTCTGGTCAGCAGTAGTAAGCCCTAATTATATTTAGTCTTGTTTAGACTGATATAAAATTCAGCTTGTATCTGAATGTCACTAAGTTTTCACATTGATTTATGAGATGGTGGCAGCTTTTAGGGGCTATCTCAAGAAACACAATCCTTCCTATTTCAGATGAAAAAGCCCCTAACAGCAGATTTTGGGTGCCTTTTGGGCTTTAGATGACTGGATTTTATGTGCTTCAGTATATGTGTTATTCCCACACTAGTTTGGTGATGTCCATACTTTGAGGCATTCCATATGCAGTTGTCAATTACTGAAGGATTGTCTGAAAAAAAGATGTTTTGGAGCTCCAGTAACTTGTTACTGAAATGTGGAAACACCTAAGAAGAGGAGGACAGGAGGGTTTCTCAGGTGCAGTATGTTTGTTCAGTTCATTTAAAAAAATTTACAAGAATACAGTCTTCAAAATTGCCATGCTTTCCACTTCTTTTTTTACATTTTGGAATTATCTGGATAATAGACAGTGAATGCATTAAATTAAGGTAATGGTAATATAAGTGTTAAGCAATAAGGATGTAATTTCTTGGTACACAGCATCAGAGCAACGTGTTAACAGCCCATCCGAATTCTCCCTACCAAAATAGAGCGTGGTTCCTGTAGATTTACATAGTGCCTTTTATCCTAAAGGAGTCCAAAGCATTCTGTGAAATCTGAGCAGTGATAGTTGCTGACTAGAGAGTGACAGCCAGCCCCAGCCCTTCACCCGCCCAGGCTGGCACAGCGACCCGCAGGACGAGCAGAGCCAGTGCCTCCCACATCCTGCATCCCGGATCTACCTCAGCTGCTGCCCTCCGGAGCTCCTCCAGCGTCCCCGTGCCAGTGTTCCCATGCCAGTGTCCCCGTGCCAGCGTCCCTGTGCCAGTCCCCGACCCGGCCTCCGGAGCCCGGACCGCCCGGCCGCGGGCGCTGCACTGGCTGCAGGCGGCAGCGCCCACCTCGGAGCCACGCTGGGGGGTTGCTGTTTGATGTCCTCTGTGAGAAATCGTTTTCTGTAGGAACTGTACATATTGTAAATAAAATAGCCCAGGTAAACACTGCACTGGTGTCTCGGCTCTTCATTTTGGAGAGGATTGGGAATTACAGCTCTTGCGTCACTCTGAACTCAGGGAGATTTTGGTTAGATTGAGTAGATGAAGTTCACAAAATTCAGCCAAATTGTGTGTTCGGAATGGCATTAATAATGTAAGGTGTGCTGGCCAGAAGGTGAATTCTGACTTCTACATCATCTTCCACATTTTGAGCCCTTGTTTTTCCTGAAGCATTTTGGTACTGAGGTGGAGAGTGTTACTGTTTGTTGTGAGAGCAGCAAGTATCATTTATTGTTGGCTGTTAAACCTGTCTGGTCTTTGGGGTCAGAATAAGGGGGAAATGTTCACATGTGATATGTCCTAATCTGGCTCCAAATCTGTATTCTATTTAATTTCTGTCCTGGGTGATGTTGAAGTTAGCTGTATACCAAGCACAGCAGGAAATTAAATTTGTTATGGCTGGAAGACTTTATTTTTTATTAAATAATTGTGTAAAACTATTGTACTTATAAACAGTGGTGTAAAATGTCCTTTTGTTAAACACCTCTTGCACATCTCAAGTCATATATTGATATAATTTCTTTGCTATGTGTATATTCGTGTGAATTTGGGTTTTGCACCTTTCCTGATTAATGTCACTGACTTGGTGCATTATTTACCACTAATTAACAGCAACACTTGTGGTTTCGCAGCCAGATTTTAAAATAGAGAAAAATCTTAACATCCTAAAAAAATGTGTGAATTGGTAAAACTGTTGTGCTGCCATCCGTGTGCCTTTCCTCCTTGTGGTTTGTGTTCCATTAGGTCGCAGGAGCTTGGGTGACTGGGGGACGTCACTGACCTTGGTACAGAGGAGTGAAAGCTGGGGCAGCTGCTCTGGGCATGGCCTGGGTGTTGAGGGGGCTGTGGAGTGTTGGCTCTGACTTTCATGTAGGCCTTGGGAAAGGGTTGTTTAACAGTTTTTACATGTATTGATTGTGGTTTTTCATGTCTCACAGTCTGAAGACAGGTTTCTGTGGTCTAAAGGCTGCAGTGGTGTAGGTGTTGAAGTAAAAATCAGTGCATATGCCCAGCCTAGCTTAAGTGAGCTGGGATCAGCCCAGCAGGGGTTTGTGGTGCAGAGTGTGACAGCTGGCTTGGGGTCACAGGGCTGCTGGGCAGCGCCGCTCCTGAGGCTCCTTCCTGCAGCCCCCTTCAACCCAGAGCGCAACGGCCCGGCCGTGCCGGAGGAGCTGCTGGGGACTCGGACCTGTCCCGGTGTCCGTGCCCCGGTGTCCCTGTCCCGGTGTCCGTGCCCCGGTGTCCGTGTCCCGGTGTCCCTGTCCCGGTGTCCGTGCCCCGGTGTCCCTGTCCCGGTGTCCCTGTCCCGGTGTCCCCGCGGGCGGAGCGCGCAGTGCGCCCCGTGCCCGGCAGGGGGCGGTGGCGGGCGGTGCCCCGGGAGGGCGGCTGCGACCCCGGTCAGTGAGTGACGGGACAGGGACAGGGACACTGCACAGGGACACTGCCCAGGAACAGGGACCTTGCCGAGGGACACTGCACAGGGACAGGGACACTGCCCAGGGACACTGATCAGGGACAGGACACTGCACAGGGACAGGACACTGCCCAGGGACAGGGACACTGCCCAGGGACACTGCCTAGGGACACTGCACAGGGGCAGGACACTGCACAGGGACAGGACACTGCAGGGACAGGGACACTGCACAGGGACAGGACACTGCCCAGGGACAAGACACTGCAGGGACAGGACACTGCAGGGACAGGGACACTGGAGGGACAGGGACACTGCCCAGGGACAGGGACACTGGTCACACCACGGCACAGGGTTTGGATAAGGATCTCTTTAAGTGCCCGGTTCTGCAGCCCCGGCGCTGCTGCCCCGCATTCCCCTGCCCTCGGCAATCCTTGTGCCGACGTGAAGGCGTTGGTGATGTTATAACATGGAAACACAGGAGTTTCTTCTCTTCCTCTGTTTATTTTTCCAGCCAGCAATAAGCTGCAGCAGCTGCTGTCAGTGTTGAGAAGGGTCTGGGCACCTGCTGGGCATTGTAATTGCAGATATTTGATTGCACAAGATAAGTGCCTGTGAAGTTCTGTGTGAAGGTAAAGTCTAAGTCCTGCTTCGGGAGATGATGCACTGCAGTGAGAAGGCTGAGAGGTAAAATAAAGGCCTTGTGTTGTGATGACCTTTTTCAAGCTGTGTTTGCTGATTTTTCTTCTTTGTGTGTTTGCCTTTTGGATTGTAGCTTGTTAATGTAAGGGGGGTGTCCCAGTGACCTGCATTTCTGCTCTGGGTGCAACGGGGCATGGCAGCAATGCACACAGCAGATTTGCCAGTACTGTGAACAATAACACGTTTATTTTCTTACCTCAAACATAACAGAGTAAAGACAGTCTCATAACTTAGTGTTTTGTTAATAAATAATCAGCTACACTGTACCACCCGCAGCCCTGCAGGGGTAGATCCTGCAGGGAGAAGAGCAGAGAGAAATGAAATCCCAGCCTGTCAGTTCCAGTGCAGAGAAGGTAGGAGCTTCTCTGAAACATCCATGTCCAAACCTTGGTTAGTGGTGGGCTGAGAGGTCCAGAGGAGTCTGTGTCCCAGCTGGGTGGGAGATTTGAGAGGAGCTGAAGAACTCACCAGCTGGAACTTCAGAGCACAGGGCAGCGAATCAAATAGAGCATAAATTAAATGATAGTGCAAATTAGTCTTGAAGTGTTTTTTGTTTTAAAACCAGTCCAACCATGTGGTGCTAAACTGGAGTTTACCAGGTGGGTTCACCAGCAAGGGAGCTGCAGAACCCAAGCATAGTCCTATGAGTTTCCTAGCAGTAGTTTTATGTGCAGAGTCTTATGCCATTAGGAAATAGAGGCTTTACATCATCTGGTTGCATAAAGTTTGTTTCTATAGTCTTTTATATCTATAAATGTGAAACTGGCAGCATGGACAGTAATGATCTGCATCCTTGAAGATCCTGATGAAGAGAGGGACGAGGCAGCATCCGAAGCAGCACCTGGAGCCAAAGGGGAGATGGACATGCACAGAATGATTTCTGGCTTCCCTTTTCTGCTGGCCACAGCTGTGACTTCCCCCTGCCTTGTTCTGTCTGCCTTTTCACTGTGCGAATCCACTTCTTTCCCAAGTCTATTAATGTTTAAAGTATCTTCCAAAAAATTAATCTTCACTTCTGACGTCTCATGCATGAGTCTGTTCCTGAGCCTGATTCTAAATTACACTTGGGAAGTTGACAACGTTGTACTAATTTCTGCTTGTCTTATGAAAAGTGAAACATACTGAGTTAAATTTAGCAAGTTTGCATCCCCTGCAGCCATGATGACTGTATCTAGAAGGGACAGGATGGCTTCTCATAAGTGGAGAAGGGCAAACTGTCTGTATAGGCACTAACTAGAACTTTGATTTTTAATTACTCATTTTTAACCTTCTGCTGTGCTGAAGCTGCACAGTGCCCATGAAAACTTACCCAACCATGCACAGGCTGGTGCACAGGAGGTAGGACAGCTTGCCCAGTCTGTAGGTGACCTGGGTGGTGATGTGCTGGCGGCAGGAAGGACAGATTGTGGATGTTGGTTTGCTGGAGAAGATCCCTGCCACGATGATGGGAGGCTGGGGCACCAAATAAACTGAGCTCAGGAGGAGAGGAGAAGCAGCCAGATTAGAAGCACAGGAAATATTTTGCAAGTTATAAAGCCTAAGCTGGGAGAATGTGGGCTCTTAACGTGGCACCCATGTTATTATTGTTGATTTCAGGTGTATTCCTGAGAAGCACTGTCCTGATTCTGTGTATCCCAACACACTGCACCTAAACCAGCCAGCCTTTACTTGGATAAGGACACACACAGGGAATTGTCTGTGGGATAACCCCCAGGCAGGCAGTCCCACCACCCTCTGCTGGATGTGCTCTGACACTGAGGGTTTGTCTTCTGATATGTAAAATGATATGAAAATCCTTGTTCTCCCTGAAGAAGAGATTTGAAGGAGGTTGGGGAACTTTCTGGATCAACATTTCAGTAGTTATGAGAAATTCATCAAAGCAGTTATTCTTACACCTAAATGCCATCAAACAGCTGCTGGTGCTGTCCTCAGTTAGTCTCTAGCTCATGTTTTTGCAGTCTAGACTTGACTGTCTTATTCCCTGAGGGGCACACCCCTTGTAGGCACACGAAGGATATTTTTTTCAGAAATGTTTTCAGTAAAAAAATACCATTTTAATGATCCTAAAACATGTTTCGGGTACAACTTCACACTGTAGCCTGAGGCAAACCTTGAGGAGTGGGAAGGTATCTGTTAGACAGATAGGATAAAGCACGTCTGAGTTCAAGTGCCTTCTGGCTTCAGGGATATTTAAAAATGTATGTCTCCTTTCCTCCTGTATGAGGTGTTACTGATTGTTCTTCAAAGCCTTTCCTCAGAAAATCCTTTGAGCTTCTCCATAAAGGTGACTAGAACAGGAACACTGGCCTTAAAATGATTTGTTCTGAAAGCCCTGGCTTCTGGCCTTTTTGGTTTGGTTTGTTTTTGGTTTTTTTTTTTTTTTTCAAATGGGTACTTCTGTGGATTGGCTAATGCTGGAAAATCAAATCTGAGTTCCTTGTCTTAGTTTATCTTCTGACATTTCTGTGGAAATTTTCCGGTTTATGAGATTGTGATTGGGTCAGAAACCCCTGCCCCCTGTGCTGGTGGCAGAACCAAACCCGTGTCCCTCTGCAGCCCCAGGAGCTGCCAGGGCTCCCCCGGCTTACCCGGCTCCTCGATGATGGTGGTTTCTCTGTACGAGTAAGGTGGGGGAGAAGGATACTCATAGCCCCCTGTGCAAAGAAAAACAGGGCAAAATGTGTGAGTGCAAGCAGCTCCTGGCTCCCAAAAACCCCGTGGGTGAGACGAGAGGGGCCTGCAGGGAGTGCCAGGCCCAGCACAGGGAGGAGCAGCCAGGAACTGATTCATGGGGTTCCAAAGCCAGAAGAGCTACAGTGACTGGCTGGTCTCACTTTTATAAAAGCAGAGAATCCAAATCATTTCTTTGGAATGGCAGTAACTACATCATTCCAGCATAACACTGTCATGATATTCAATCTTAATTTCAGGATTTCACAGATAAAGGACCCACAGCACTTCTACCTTCAGTGGTAATTACTCTTACTATTTAGTATTTAGAGCCTTGTTACTGGTTTAAACTTTATCAGCTTTCAACAAAGATATTTCACCCCACTCTGTTCTAGAAAGGAAAAAAAAAAGTTTAAATATCTTTTTCCTTTTGCTTTGGGAGAAGGGAAGCTGGTGACTAAGACACCTCAAGCTTTTCAGTTCTTTTGCTAATCTTTCAAATTAAGAATGCAATCAGCCTACCTGAGGTGAAATAAATGACTGTATTAAAAAAAAAAATACATTCATGAATACATTCAAAGTAAATCCATGTAAAAAGCTTTACAGCCAGCTGGGGGGATGTGGTACCAAGCTGCTCTGGGACAGAAGGACAGTCCTTAAGGGAAATCTTGGTTGGTCAAGCCTGGACAGCATTGGAGAAACCCTCAGCCCCAAGCTGGGAGTCCAGTCCTGTGCTCAAGCCTTTCACAAACTATGTGGGTGCAACCAGGGAATGAGCACACAGGGATACAAATGGGATATAAACCCAGAATTTTCCAGAGTGGGATAAAATACAGTGGCAAAGGTGAAATAAATGTTAGCAATATTTTCTTGAATGGCTTGCCAGAAGTGGTAGAGCTTTGCAATGGCATTTGGGTTTCGTGGTGGTGGGCTGGTGCTTTGTTTTTGGTTTTGAAGACTTTTCAGTTTGGTTTTTAGGGGGTGTTACTTGAAGGGGGAAAAATTGTAAAAAAATTAAAACTGAAATAATTTCCTTCTGGTTTAGAAAAGGAATGTGCTTGGTACAAGTGAGCTCCCACACAAGGACAGGACCCTGCAGCTCAGTGTGGGTGTGGGCAGTGCCTGTGCCTTGCCTGGGGGGCTCCAAGTGAGACTCCTTCTCCACAGCCTCTTGCAAGCTCTGCTGAGCTCACAGAGGCCAGAGAGATCTTTGAGGACAAAAATATTTACAGAGAGAGCTGATCAGAGCGAAGTGCTCTGAAATGAGTCAGGTTTAGAGGCCCACGGCTGACACATCGAGCTGTTAGTTACTGCCTCATCTCCCTTTCGGGTTTTTTCTCCAGCCCTGTCCGGTAAATGGCAATTTCCTCAGCAGCAGGAAGGTAACAAAGGTACAGCCACTGCAGACAGGGAGGTGAGGTGCTGTGGGGTGCTTGTGTAGTGTGAGAGCAGTGCCTGGGTCCAGAAGGAAAAGCCCTCCCCGGAGAGCAGCAGCTCCTGGCACCCTCCGGCAGCCCTGGAGCTGAGTTGTCAGCGCTTCCCAGTGGGCAGGGGACACGCATCCCTGCAGGAGCCTGGGGCGGGCGGCTTGGCCAGCAGGGACGGTAGGAAAAGGCAGAACTCTAAAACGAGATGACAATTTAAGCAGGACATAGCCCATCCACGTACAGACTTTGCTGGCTGAACAATTGCACCTTAGGAATATGAAGTTGTTGTAGTGATACAGCTACAATAAAGCAGGCGGTTTAAAAAAAATTATTAACTAAACCAACACAAATATTTATTATTATTATTAATAATAATAATTATTATTATAGTGGATGCTGAGAATTTTAAACATTTTAATGATGTTTCTATGAGGAGATCCCATCCCAACCCTAGATTTATATGCTGGCACAGACGCTTTCTAAACCCATCACATCCTGGCAAGGCTGGGCCCCAAATGTGCTCGGTGATGTGCTGGACACCAGCCCCCAGGGAGCCCCCGCAGCCCCCGAGCCCCGCTCACCGTCCTGGCCCAGCGGCGGCGCCGAGGGCTCGGCCCGGGGCCGCTCCTGGCGCGGCTCGTACATCACCACGGGCACCTGCGGCCGCTGCTTCTCCCCGGACATCTCCGCCGCTCGCCTGCCGAAAGAAGGGCAAAGTAAAACCTTCCCTGCTGACTCTCCCTGCCCCGGACTTGCCGGAGCTTCTGGAGCTCCTGCTTGTCACGCTCGGGTGGTGCTTAGAGGGAAATCGGCAGTTCTCACATTGGTTTTTGTAGGGCGGAGAGCAGTCAGTTCCTGTCGCACTTCATGATGAGGAAGGTGGAGGGCAGAAAATACCATCTTAATAAAAGAAATACCGGTATTTCTTTGTGCTGGGAAGCTAAAGGTGTTTCCCCAGACAAAAACACTATTCAAAGTGTGCAAACTCGGGACTGAAAGAGTTAACTATGCATTTTTTTTTTTTTCTATGGGTTTTCAAAGTAGTCAAAGAAAGGAAGAGCACACTTGGAGCCCCTGTGAAAAACCTTCCCGCGTGATTAAGTCAGTGCAATCAGCGGCAATTCGGACCTGCCTTTCTTCGGGTTATTGTGCAAACTTATCAGCATTGTTATCGTGACCAGTTTTGTCCTGTGAAACTATTGTCTCATCGGTAGGTGACAGGCTTTTGTTGGGAAACATCCTTATTACGGGTGACTGCGCTGCCTGAGGCTCTGAGCAAGATGAGGCCACAAAATGTGTGTTTTGCAGGTGTTAGCAGGAGCTGCTCCTCGCAGTGAAGGCGGGTGGGAGCAGGAGGACAGGACAGGATGTGTGTTTGTATCCCTGCCAGCGGAAAGGAGAGAATTCCTAGCTGCCCCTTGAACCGGCATTAACTGATTGATTTCCTACTAACATTTACTGGGAGAGTCCTTTGCAGAAGAAATGGCCAGTCTTGTTGCACAGGTCAGCGAGAGTTTTGGGGAAAAGGGGAAGTTTTTGGGAAAAAGGAGCACAGATGCACAAACTGCCCTAATGTGTGAGGTCAAAGAAAAGCAGCAGAGGAATTGCTGGGCAAGGCAGGATGGTCCCAACAGGTCTGTTTGCAAGGGGTGGTGAAGGCAGGGCAAAAGAGGGAGGATCAGTAGTGCTGAGTTAAAGCATCAGACTCTCAGGGAGAGAAAAAAAAAAAAAAAAAAGGAATTTGAAAATACCACCAGGGAAGATGTGTCGTAATTTTCACAAATCTGGATGAATGTCAAGTGATATGAAAAATGGTAGGAGAATGAATCATTGAGGGAATAGGATGGTGTGGAGAAAAAATCGGAACTACAGCATTGGCCATGTTAAGGCCAAAGATGCCAAAGGAAATTGCAAATACATGGATTGGAGAGGATGGCTGGACAAAGGTACATCTCTGTAATTGTTATAAAGGAGCTAAACCAGGGGACTGGGAATGTCAGAGGTGTTAACAGGCCGTTGTAGAAGCTTCATGATGATCCAACTGAGAAGAAAAAAGGTGAGTCGAGAGAATTTGGGCAGGATGAAGCTGTGAAAAGCAAGGAAGAAGAAATGGAGTTTGTCAGTGGTGACTGTGGGCTCAGGAGTGCGGTGATAGATGATGTTACATTAGCTGGTGTTGGCCAAGAGCTGCTTCCCTGGGACAGGGATTAGTGGGGAAAATTACAGGGAGTCTCCAAGTTTTTGTGTTATTCCTATCTTGGTGCAGTAAATACTGGGTGGTGTCCGTTTGGGTGACACTTCTGCAGAATTCATCTCGCTGCGAAACAGGAAAAAGAGGAAAGAGCTTTTGAATTCCATCCAGTGCCTGTAAGGCCAGGCAGGCGCCTGCAAGAGGCACGGGGTAGGAGGCAATAATAATGGCTAACAGTGAGAACTCGTCAAGGTACCTGCAAGCACATCTGACTAATCCCGGCTCCGCCCGGGAGGGATCGGGATAGCATCACCGCTGAATGTGCAGGACACGAGGCGCAAAAGCGAATCAGCAGCAGAGCGGGGAATGGTGTGGGATGCCGGGTTTGTGTTGGATCTGTTGGAGCACAGGAGCTGTGGGCTGAGGCTGATAAAGCCCTGAATTCGCTCCCTTTCGGTGCCTTGCTCCGCCTGCAGCAGCTCCGGCGCTGGGAGCGGGGCATGCCCCAGGGCTGGGTGGGGACAGCACCAGGGCTCGGGTACCCTCTGGGCCTGAATGCTGAGCGTCCAGAGGTCCCGCGAAGGCATTTTCTGCAGCTCTGCAGACCCTTTAATTTGGCATAGGAGCACTCACTCTCAGCTCGGCTCCAGCCGGGAATGAGGTGCCCGAGAGCCCTTCAGGGCTGAGACTCCCAAATCTGCAGGTGTTGTTGCCATAAATTAGAGCAAGCCATTTCCCTCTTTTTCAGATGTTGGAGAGGAAGATAAGGTAGACAAGAGTGTGAGTAGCCCCGGAGGAAAAGTTCTTAAGGAGAAATATCAGGAAGCAGCTCCTGAAGAGCAGGAAAATGCCCTGTAAGCTTGCCTGCAGTGATAGCCAGGAGGGTCACAAGGAATGGCTCAGGAGTGATGTGAGCTGTCCTCTCTGCAGTCATCCTGAGCAAACAGAGCAAGGGCAGAGCTCCTGGGGCTCTCCTGGGGTGGGCTGAGTTTGTCCAAGCAGATTGACTCAACTACTGCAAACTGCTTGATTTGCAGGATGAACTGCATTGTCCCAGGGGCATTGAAACAATTCCCTATCTTCTCTCAAGTTTTAGTCTCGTCTACACATGGATATAAACCGGTTTGCACGGGAAAATAAAGCTGATTTGAAGTCCTGTGGAAATCAGCATTCAAAACAAGAAGTAAATCACACCCTGAGGCATACGCACACAGAGCCAGTTCAGTGCAAGCAGGCACTGATCTCTCCTTTCTGTTCCAGGAAGGAGAGACCCCAGGGAAGGATGGGCAGGCAGTTTCCATCATCTTCCTCTGATTTGCTCCAGGACCTTGTGTTTGGGTGCGCAGAGCAGCCTGGTGCTGGCCAGCAAAGCCGATGAGCTGTGAAATTCCAGGGCACAGCCCCACTCTCCCCTCCCACCCGCAGCTCTGCATGTCCCTCGTCCCTCCTGAATGTCCCTGTTGGCTGATAACCCCACAGGTGGGATTAATCCGAAGTCATCTCTGCTTGGAAAGGGATTTCATTTGAAAACAAAAGTTCCCCGCAGTACTAATACTTCTTCCAGGTTCATGCCTGGCTCTCAAGGATGGGATCTCAGCAAGCAGTGACTTTATAGGAAGCATTTGATCTCCATTCCAGCTTCCTCTGCTGTCAGTGTGGGATTTGCCATTCAGTGAGGGTGTGCTCAGGGACAGAAAAAAGGGAACAGGAATTTGGGAGGGAACTCTAAGATTCGGGTGTTTGAAGAATATAGGGTACTACATTCAAAACTTTGGTATTTGGGAAGATTGGCATTAAAACATGATAGTAAATGATCTCCACACTTCATGGACATGGGGAGGAATAGCAGTTTTCTCCAGTGGCCTGTTGGCTTCTAGGACACTGGCCCAAAGGCTTTCAGGCTTTTGCTGCAATGTGTCCTGGTTCTCCTGTCATCACTAGTTTAACGTTTTCCTTGCATTTAGCCCTTCCAGCTGTGTTTATGAGGCAATTTAAATTTCTGATATTTTGAAGAGTGGCCATAAAATGCCACTGCTGGCATGCAATTACATCTAGGGCTTGAACAATATCAAGAGCCTGTTTCACTTGATTGAAGCAGTTAATTCCAGTTTTTGGCTAGCAATGAAGCACTGAATTCCTCAGTGGAGAGATCTTTTCCCTTTAGTCCAGAGTTGGTCATTTCAGGTAACATTGACAATGTGCTGAGGGTTTTCAGATGTTCAAAAAGGAATCGTTCCAGCTCTAATACAGACAAACATAAGTGGGGAGCAGCACTCAGGTATTTGCCTATTCTCATTCTTAAATAGAAGCTAAAAGAGAGGACTGCTGGCAGCAAATGAGAAGCTGGACTTTAGAAAGCATTCATTATATCTGGAGTAGACAACCTTTTCAAGGAGATGAAGAATGCTCTGCCAATTCCCCATTCTTCGCTCATGAAATTAATTTTTTAATATCACAGTTATTCTGCCTTTTAAGCCTGAATCAGGTTACCAGCCTCTTCAAAAGGAGAGGATGTAGCTGAGGGGGACTGACTGATTATGCACCATATTTGCTCTTGCAAACTCTTCACCTGCTTCCCTTTTCTTGTCTGTTGAGTGCCTTGGCTCACTCCACTCACAAGGCTCTGGAAAGGCAGGCACTGCCTGGGTTTTCCAGTCCTGTCCCACACCAGATGTTTGTGTTAGGTTAGTCCTTCATGAAGGGAGCCCTGGTCTATAATTCAGTACATTTACTGCTCCTGTTGCTCTCACCTTAGAGCCATTCAAAACACTGTAAACTTTCACAAACCTTCTAGTCTAGAATTATTAACAGTAGTTTCTTGCTGTGTGCTGTTGTGCCAGCATCATGCTTTTACAGAAAACCTTCTCCCAGAGAACAGCCCAGAGAACATCTCTGTCCCTTTGCAGCCTTCCCTTCACAGCACTAAGCAAGGTTTGAGTCCTTTTCATTTCTGTGCAGTGAATTCATCCTTCTTCTCCATGAAGGGTCAGTGACCTCTGTCCTCAGCCTATGGAATGGTATGAATGTCATCTTGTACTTAATGGAAAAGTTGTCTGCAGAATAATCCAGCAGCACTTATTTCCTTTTCCCAGCCACCTCACGCTGGTGGTTTGTATTTAAGTTGTCATTAACCAGCAGCAGGTCTTTCTCCTCCAATGTCATTCTGCATTAATGAACTCCCAGCTTGCAGCTGGAATTTTGGGTAGTTTTTTAAGCGGGCTGCTTTGTCGCATTATAATGCACACAAATACTGCCACAGCAGGTCTCTAACTTTTCTTATTCCATGTAATAGATTTTCTGCTTCCATAATTTGTTTCTTAAGTCATACATTTTATTAGCCACTCCTATATTTCTGCCATGGTTATTAATTAAAATACTGAGTAAGATCCATCACTGCTTTCTGTGCTAACCTTTGATTCAAACCAGGTTTATCTATTAAACCTTGTTCCTTGATTTACTGTTTGAAGTATAATCCCTTGTTCCCTTGAGATGA